GAGGAAGGGAGAGGGAGAGAGAGTTAGAAACATCGATGAGTGAGAAACATCGATCAGCTGCCTCCTGCACACCCCCTACTGGGGATGTGCCTGCAACCAAGGTACCTGCCCATGAGCGGAATCGAACCTGGGACCCTTCAGTCCACAGGCCGATGCTCCCACTGAGCCAAACTGGTTAGGGGAGCATCTTGAGGGTTAAGTCCAGACTTAGCTGGGCATAGGGCTGTCCTTCTAGATTCTCTCCCGCCCTCACTTCTGCATTCTGGTCCCCTCCTGCGCACAGACCCCAAACTCCATTCAGGCCAAGTAGTTTGAAGTTCTGGTTCATAGAATATTGCCCTCACCTTGCTTGTGACGTCAGGCCAGGTTATGTTTCTTCACTAAGACCCTCAGTTTTTTTTTTCAACATGAAGATGGGAGAAAATAATAGTATTTACTTAAGGGTGTCTGTAAGGATTAAATTAGATGATTTATACGCCCGATGTATAAAAAGGGCCCAGTAGATGTTAACTACTACTATTATTGTTATTATTGTACTGTTTTGTTATTATGCATTGTTTTGCTGTTTCTCCCTTTACTACATTTTTAAAAATTAAAAAAATATATACCTTTATTTGATTTGAGAGAGATAGAGAAACATCAATTTGTTGTTACGCTTATTTATGCATTCATTGGTTGAGTCTTGTCTGTGCCCTGGCCCAGCCTTTCACCCTTACCTCTTGCTTGTCTATCTCTAGCGGAACTGATCACACTTTATTATCCAGTGATGATCTGTTTTCCTCTCTCTTCTCAACTAGACCATGTGTCTAATTCGCCATCACATATCTGCCAGTGCCCAGCTGAGGCTTAAGCTATAATAGCAGCTAACATTTATTTTCATTTCCTTTAAAAAAAAATTTTTTTTATTGATTTCAGAGAAGAAGGGAGAGGGAGAGAGAGAGAGATAGAGACATGAATGATGAGAGAGAATCATTGATTGGCTGCCTCCTGCACGCCCCGCACTGGGGGTCGAGCCCACAACCCAGGCATGTGCCCTTGGCCGGAATCGAACCTGGGACCCTTCAGTCCGCAGGCTGATGCTCTATCCACTCAGCCAAGCTGGCTAGGCGCCCAAATTTATGTTTTTAAAAGGAATTACAGGATACAATTAATTTTGCTGATCAAGTGTTATTTGCTAGATTAAGAAATGTCTGTTTTTCTGTATAACCCAGAAGACTGTGGATTAAGACGTGCAGAAAGTAACTGATGTTCTCGGTCTGAAGTAGGTATGAGTGATTTCAGCGAAGACTTGCTGAGGCCCACGCCAGAGGATGACCCAGCGGAAACCAGTGTCCGCCCTCGTTCAGGAATGTGTCTTCCTTGGCTCCAAAAGCAAGTAGAAAGTGTGGGTAAGTAAAATACCATTCAGCCATTTTACCCTCCATGCAAGAGAGGATAAGATCCCATATGAATGCAACATGAATAACCAAGCTTGGTTCACTCTTCAGGATAGGAATACATAGATGACAATTTCTTATGCTACAGCCAAAAAGAAATAAATAAATAGATGATTTTTTGTTTTAGAATTCTTTTCCTTTGAATTAATAATAGTCTGTATTATGGCAGATACACATGTCTTTTTCTTTTTCCTGAGCACTTATTATATCCCTGACATTGGCTAAATTAATGCGCTGTAAATCTACATGCTAGGCATTTTAAAGGTGAGGAAACGGAATCTCAAATGACTTTAAGTGCTGGATATGTTAGTCACCCACTTTCTCCTCCATTTTCACCTTAAGGCAACTCATATTGCTTTTGTTCACGAAGCCTTGACTGTAGGCACAGTTCTCTAGGAGATCAATTTTAGGAAAGAGTATGGGAGGAAGTTGATTGCTCTAAAACTGTGTTTGCATGTACCTGTTAGTCTGTGTACTCCCAGAGTAAGGGTGCCTGAGCTGAAAGACTGCTGGTCTCTAGGGGTCCCCTAGAGGTATGGAAAGGGAAGAGGAGTGGCAGTCTGCAACCAGTTGCTCCTATAACAGGGTTGTAACTAATTCCAAATATTCTTAATATGAGTATTGTCAATTCTTTTATTATTATTTTTTTTTAAATATATTTTATTGACTTTTTACAGAGAGGAAGGGAGAGAGATAGAGAGTTAGAAACATCGATGAGAGAGAAACATCGATCAGCTGCCTCCTGCACATCTCCCACTGTGGATGTGCCCGCAACCAAGGTACATGCCCTTGACCGGAATTGAAACCGGGACCTTTCAGTCCGCAGGCCGACGCTCTATCCACTGAGCCAAACCGGTTTCGGCTCTTTTATTTTTTTATTTTTAAATCTTTATTGTTGAAATATTACACATGTCCCCTTTTTTCCGTATTGTCAGTTCTTTAGAGATCTAAAGAATTGTTTTAGTCTAATTTGCATTTAATGTCATTGAGTTACTAGGAACTCAGTCCTTAAAAACATTAAAGCCCACCTCTTGTTTTCAGAACACTGGAAGGTACTAAAGGCCCTGCTTGCCTAGGATGGCCCTAATGATTTCTACGCATTCTAACGACTTGAGACTATGTGTTTGGGGCCCTCTTGGACAATTCTACTCAGATTATTTATTTATTTATTTATTTATTTATTTTTTAAAATATATTTTATTGATTTTTTACAGAGAGGATGGGAGAGGGATCAAGAGCTAGAAACATCGATGAGCGAGAAACACTGATCAGCTGCCTCCTGCACACCCCCCCTGGGGATCAAGCCCGCAACCCAGGCACATGCCCTTGACCGGAATTGAACCTGGGACCCTTCAGTCCGCAGGCCGACGCTTTATCCACTGAGCCAAACCGGTTAGGGCTCTACTCAGATTATTTAGTACAAGAGTGAAAGGGTGATTGAGTCAGATTTGAAGGGTTTGTCGACTCTGGTAGAACATCAAATTACATATCTCCACATTAGACTTTTTTTTTTTTTTTCATTTGCTAAAACTAGTTAAAATAGTGTGGAAGAGTTTGTTTCAAGTGAAGCTAGCTTTGATATTTGGGATGGGCTGGATTAAGGTAATACCCACTGTTCTACTTGTTAACACTTATGCTTATCAGAAGTAAGTTTTTGAGCTGTTTGATTGGGGTCACTGGGTAAAAGACTCCTCTCTTTGCCCAGCTGGTGCTGCTCAGTGGTTGAGCAGCAACCAGTGAACTAGGAGGTCACAGTTTGATTCCCGGTCAGGGCACATGCCCGGGTTGTGGGCTTGATCCCCAGTAGGGGGCGTGCAGGAGGCAGCCGATTGATGATTCTCTCTCGTCATTGATGTTTCTGTCTTTCTCCCTCTCCCTTCCTCTCTCAAATCAATAAAGACATATTAAAAAATACATGAAAGACTCTTCTCTTTAATCTTTATAGCGACCAGAGGGAAAAAGGAGAAGGATTTTGCTCAGACAACAAGTGCCTGTTTAAGTTTCATCCAAGAAGCCCTGCTGAAGCATCAGTGGCAGCGAGCAGCCGAGTACATGCACAGTTACCTGCAGATCCTGGAAGACTCGGACAGCAACAAGAGGCAGGCTGCGCCCGAGGTGAGGCAAGGGCGAGTCTGCGGGAGAGGTCACCGATCCCTGGGAGTTTCAGCTTCTTTTGGCAGAAACGGTTCTGATCTTCACCACATTTTCTTCGTCTCAGAAGATGGTGGTTTTATGGATCTAACTGCCAAGGCCAGACTCTGGAGTTCTCTTTTTTTTCATATCCCATCTCCAAACCATCAGAAAGTCCTGTTGGCTGTACTTTCAGATTCCCTGGGGTCTGACCAGGCTGCCCCTGATCCAGGCCATAGCCATCCCACTGAGACGGCTGTTTGCCCTTTTCCTCCTCCTGGTCTGGTTTCAGCACAGCAACCAGAGCGACGCTTTTTTTAATTTTACAAAGAGAGAAATCATTTTATTATTTATTTATTTATTTGCTTTAATATATTTTTATTGATTTCAGAGAGGAAGGGAGAGGGAGAGAGAGAGAGAGAAACATTGAGAGTCATTGATCAGCTGCCTCCTGCACGCCCCCCATGGGGGATCAAACCCGCAACCCAGGCATGTGCCCTTGACTGGAATCGAACCTGGGACCCTTCAGTCTGCAGGCTGACGCTCTATCTACTGAGCCAAACCAGCTAGGGCGAGCGAGAAATCATTTTATTGACACACCGTACAATTCACCCATTTCAGTGGTATACAGTTCAGGGTTTTTTCATAGATATTCACAGAGATGTGCAACTATTACCACAATCTAAACGTGGAT